AGGGTCGTGCGCAACGCGCACGCTACCTCGTGCACATCGGCGAGTTGTCCGCGGCCCGGCAAGCTGTGAAGGCCGGAACCCCGGCCCCGGGACCGCCAGCACATTGCGCGAATTGCGAGACCCGTCCCGCCTGAGATCTTAAAATTCTATCCCGGCCACAGCAGCCTGTTGAGCTCTCCGCCGCCACCATCATCCACAATTTAAGACGCTCGAGGAGGAAAAACAAAAAGGCGGCACCTGGCCTTTCGGGCCTCACAGCAGACACACTTCGCTGATGCTTGATGATGGAAAAAACCACCCACCGCCTCACCGCCGTTGCCCAACGATTGGCGCAAACCAGGCTACCGGCAACTATCATCCCCTGCCTCGGGCTAGGGCGGATAGTGGCATTGGAAAAAAATCCAATGGACGAACCCGAAAGGATTGTCATCGCGGATGTCCTTCGCCGGCTGGTCTCTCGGAATCTGGCACAGATGTTTGCGGGGCCCATCCACACCAATTGTGCGCTGCACCAATTCGCCCTATCCACGCGAACGGGAACCGAGGCAGTGGTCCATGCCCTCACAGCCGCGACCGAAGCCAACCCCGCAAACACTGTGGTGTCCGTGGATGGGACCGGGGCATATGACATCATTTCCCGAGATGCCATGTTGCGCGGCCCCTTTGCCGTGCCAGCGGCCAACCGCTGCTTGCCCTTTGTTGGATTGTTCTACGATGTTCGACGGCCAGCCCTCCCAGCACGTTTGGCAGGAGGACCACGGACACCACCACCTCATCAGCCAAGCCGAGGGGGGCTGAGCAAGGAGACCCCTTGATGCCTGCCTTGTTCTCCTTCGGACAGAACGCGGCGCTCAGAACGCGGCGCTGCAAGCCAGCCACCGTCAACTCCAGCCCACAGAGCTCCTGCTTGCCTATTTGGATGAAATTTATGCCGTGGTTCTCCCGGCGATGGAGGTCAGTGGTCGTTGGAGCCACGAAGCCATGAAACCGCGGAATTTTGGCGCCTCTTGGCCAAGGCCCGTAGCCAATCAGTCATACCAGCCCTTTGACCAGCAGCCGTTCAGTCCTCCATGTCCAAAAGTCGCGATTCATTGGACCTGTCATGAATTCGAAGTCCTCGACGATCACCACAATGTCCAAAGCGCTGCACCTCCCACGAAAACTATCGAAAACTGCATTTCGAAGTAAAACCGTTCCGATCCCATGCACCTGTCACGAAAAGTCTCCTTTGGAACACCAAAGCACGAGGTTTCCCTTGCGCCTGCCAGGAAAAGTCAGCACAGGTTTCCCTTGCGCCTGCCAGGAAAAGTCAGCACCATGTGCGAAAATGCGCACGGCACCACAACGAGAGCGCGGTCGTTAGAAGCACCGCAGATGCGCAGTCGAAATGCACTTCGAAGATTTCGAGAGGCATGAATGTGCTGTACATAGCAACGAGTTAGCCGGTCATAGCCGCTCACACCTGCGCTTCAGCGATCTAAGCATCAGCTGCTTTTTCCATTACCGTAAGAACCCCTTAGTGTGTCCAGTGTCCACACTGTTTGGGGGAAAACAAAACAAAAGATTCCTTTAAAAACTAGACGACGAGTGGCCCGAAAGCATTTTTCATCACGTAGGAAGTCAGAGTGCGAGTTATCCGGTAAGTGTGCAGTGAGAACTGGTAGCCAGCGTGCTGGCTTTCCATCTGGACAATGCTCCCCAGATACTCCGCGCCCTCAAGTTGTACTACCCACTCGCCAGTTCTCATCTTCCCGCTCCCCAGCTACTCCGCGTACTACAGTCGTACTACCACGTCGCCAGTTCTCAGCTTCCAGCTCCC